TCCCCTTCTCTTTCTCTTCCTCCTCTCCCAGATCTGCCTCTTCTTCCAGATCGGTTCGCGCCCTCCCGTTCGGCTCTCCTTCCTCATTTGCCTCCCCTCCCTGATTCGCTGCCTCGTCTTCGCGAAGAGAACCAGAATTGGACGTCGACGATCTGTTACAATCAGACGTGGATTGCCCTTCTATAGGCGCAGGCGATAGAGGTTGAAACGGAGGCAACTCTGCATCACTAGGCGGCAATGACTGGAGGGACGCTAGCTCCAAATCATTGAACGCAGACACAGCTGGTGTTCCAGAGGACAGTCGGGGATCTTGCGAAAAGAGGTTATCCGAAGGCTGAGAGAAGCCGGGCTCGACCGGTGTCTGAGCGGGTGCAGGGTGCTCTTCAGCTGCATACGCAGCTAGAAGCGATCCGGGAGAAGCATCGGCGTGGGTTTGTGCGTGTTGTCCCTGAAGTATTGAAGAGCTAGATTCGTCCGGTAGGAGTCTCCCGACACTGAACTCATCCAACCAGGCGAACGAGGGCGTCTGACAAGAATCATGACATTAGCCTCATGGAGTGCGGAATCGGGCTACAGAGACATACCTCGACATCGGACACCCCACGCTCACGCCTCTCTTCCTCGTCTTTGGACTTCAGTTCTCTCTTTGTGCGCATAAGCATACCCTTCTTCGGGCCACACTTGAAACATACCTGAATCCGAAGAAAATCCTGCCACGATTGAGCTGCGCTTTTGCTCGTGAATTGCGGTAACCAGGCTGCGACGAGGAGTTCGCGGTGCAGATCGACGCAATGACTAGCACGGACAGTGAGTGATTGAATATATGCATTGAACGAGTCTCGTACAGAAGTGCCTCGCCTTGCAGTGGCCGGAGGCATCTATAAGGAAATTCGTCAACTGAGTGGGCTTCCGATGGCAGTTCGAGGAAGCAAGTACCTGTAAGCCTCCTGTTGCGAACGAGGAAGCCTTGTAATGGTATCAGTATGAGCAGACTCAACGTGATGAAAATGTCATACTGATCGAACGAGACTGGGTTACGAAGCAGGTCAGTTTCACCGAAGTGAGACTCTGGCAGCGATTGGCGAATGCACGCTAGCATATCTGACGACGTGAAGTTCCCGTGAATGGCAGACGGTTCGTCACAGGAAGTTTCTCCCTCATCCTTCTGAATGGACGCGCGGTGGGACTAGAGGTGGTCGATCAATACAAGCCGTCATAGACGTATCATAACCTCTTGACTCGCTCTCGAAAACTCACATCAGAGATTCCATTGATGGGCGTGTTCTCGCCCTTGTGATCCATTGGCGCTAGTGATTCCTCCTTGAACTGCCAGCAGGATGTCGATGAGTGTGCGAATGGTTGTCAAATTGCATGTGCTTACTGCACTAGAGCGAGACGAGTCTGCATCCTGAGCAGGGATCGGCTGCAGATTCGCCTCTTCCGGGGGAGGACGGATGGGTTGTAGCTCCGCCTCGTCCGGAGGAGGACGGATGGGTTGTAGCTCCGCCTCGTCCGGAGGAGGACGGATGGGCTGATGAACCTCCTCGTCCGCCTTCGATAATGGGGGATGTGGTACAGTGTGTGCGGCGAGGGATCCCTCGTAACCAGTCTGCCGGGAAAGTTTGATGGGTGCCTTGGGTTCCATACGCGGTCAGGTATTCGTATCCTGCTATGAGATTGGTAGACTCACGGGCTCATGTAAGACCTCCCCTTCACCTCGGGACGATATGTCCATCACAATGTCAGAATCAGTCGACTTTTCCACTGCGCACTGATCGAGGGGGAGTCCCTGTCATCGCGTGTGTGAGGACGACGTGCCAACAGAGGTACAGATGTCCTGTGCTCACCGACTTTGGGCCCTCGACTCGGTCAATGGGAGGCTGTATAAGTGCCTGATCAGCACAATAGGATTGGCCATCAAATATTCGATTAGGCTCTAAGCTTACATGGTGCCCATGTTGAGAAGAGTCGTCATGAGAGCCTTCTAACATCAAGCGCTCCTATAGCATGGCATGAGTACACCTCACAGACTTCATATCATCGCTACGCACAGGGACGGTATCCAGACGTGGCTTTGAGTATGCATGCCAAATGAGTATCACGTAACCTTCACATAGATGGCTGCTCACCTTCTTCGGCGTTTGACCACCTTGCGCGCTGGTCTTGCGTTTCAAGCTGTCACGCGGAACGAGATCAGCGGAGCCGGGCCCGTCGGGCCCACAATTAGCCACTATGAAAGCTGAGCTTGAGTCCAGGTTGTAGGGCTATGACTTACGCAGAGCCTGAATACAGGGAAACTCTCTCTCCGGAAACGATACGGGAATTTGCAGGAGTTCGTCTCGTATGACGTTTCCTAGCTCCTTCGTGAAGGTCTCAAGCGAGAATACGCTCGCCCCGAATGCTTGCTCGAACAAGAAACGCGTGAGAGCACGCTCGGCACGTCGTCTGGAGGCGGTGACAGGATACGCATGTACGATTTGCGAGCGCTGCAGTGAGTGTGAGTTAATGGGACTAAGCGAGGAAGGGTCCACTTACGCTTGTCATGTTTCCGATCGATAGCGGTATGTTGTAATGAATCCTAGAGCTTAGCAAGAGCAACGGGGAGATAAAAACCATCGCGAAGAACGGGAGAAGCAGAGCACTGTTGTCTCGTTTGGTGGGAGGGCGGTACCTAGATGTGTCAGCACGTCATCTTTGGAGGTCATGGGAGATACTTACTGTTCAGCGAGTCCGGATCCTACTTTCTCGAGCCATTCCTTGTACCGGCTGTAGTCGGGAACCGTCCGACCTTCGTTAGCTGACGCCGCCTATCTCATTTCAGTCACCAGGCGACGTGAACCATACGCACACACATACATAAGCCGTATATCGCAATGCGAGAACAACACCCAATGCATTAACAATCACGGAGTAGACCTCGGTGAAAGATTCCAGTCTGGCGCTTGCCCGTAGCATCTCTGTCGTCGAGGTATCAATATCATTATCAAAAGGACCGCGTCCAGCCTCAGGAGTCCAAGGTATCAGAGCCTATGCGCAATAAAGAATCAGCTAAAGAGACAAGTATGGTTCCGGACTTCGATCCTCACCTTCTCTTGGGCCTTTGGTAGTGATGGCATTGACGATAGGTTTCCATCTTCGAGGGCCAAAGAGAGATCCCGAACTCTCTGCGGCCAGTTGTGAAGTGTGTCTTGGTAAGCCTGTTGCCCATGATATTTGCAGGAGTCAAGATGGAGCAGTAAGATATCAGATTCCACTCACGGCATCCCAACGGCTGAGGCGGGGGACAGCATTATCGAACTTATCGAACGTCATAGGTAGCGGTGTGGTGCGTTGTATGTCAGAGTTGGACGAATGGAGAGTGGTGTCGATGAGCTTGTAGAAGACGAGGCCACTATAGACCCGCGAGACATGGTTCTTGAAATGGGTGCTGACCGACGATATATCGTGAACAGGGTATGCCAGCCTCTTCTGAACCTCTTCCGCCTCCAGACCAAAAGCTCTGAGTACCTGATAGGAATTATGCGAGTACACAGTATCGGTTTCCCAACTATGAACGTGTTTGACGACGTCCCGCAGGATCTAGCAACTCATTGGACAAAGGCAATGGCGTACTGGTATGCAAACTCACATTCCTCGCCTTGATAGATAGATATCCATCAGGAATGGTATCTATCACATCACGCAGCTCCAGATCTCGTAACTCCGGCGTAAAAGTGAACTTGCGAATGAGCTCGCTCCCACGCCGCAGAGGCATTCCACTTCTGGATCTACTTGTGGACAGGGCTTCCAGTGCGGTCTTGTTTGCCTTTAAGTCCTCTATCCGGTAGCCGACTGCTCGCACAGCAATCTGGCTGCCAAGTGGCGCATTATCTGGCGGCGTTTGGGCGAATGACATGGGACTTGAGTGTGGTGTAGGAAAGAAATAAGATGCTGGTTAGGCACCACGGCATCGACGCGTCTCTGAGCGAAGTCACGCGATAGTTTCGGCGGTTGCCGGTTGGCAGCCAACCCGTTTGTCGCCCCCCGTTTCCCGGCCAAGACGTACACTCGCGGCTATCTATCACCTACATCTACGCTTGGCTCTCGCATATGCTTGAGTCTTCAGGGGCTGGCTTGTGTACAGCTTCTGTCCTCTGCGTCTGTGAGAAATACGATGGCGCCTCACTTCGCTTCCTACGGCTTTCGCACAGCGCCGCGGTTTCGCCCCGGTGACTCTGGTAGATTCAGGCAGTGAGCCGGACTTCAACTTCATCGCGTCTTTCTGTAGAGCGCTCATAGGCGCCTCCCTTTCGCGATTGAATTATCTTGCCTCGCCCTGCCGCACACTGTTGTTCCGCTTTCTCTTACGATAGTAAAGAACTCTGAGGCCTCCTTTATGGACACCTCGCTTTGCCATGATAACTGATTCTTCTGCCTTTAATGATGTCTCAAAGGGTATACGCTGCATTTTTTAATGTGTGGTTACCAGCAAGTCTCAAGGCCGCGCAGAACCTCAAGCCATAAAGGTGACTGTGGCATTGGCCTATCTCATCCGCGTGAAGCGTTACGCTGACGCCCCACAAAGGGAGCTGGCCACATTGCCATTTTCACAGTATATGAGGCCTGCGACTCCCGAGGTACAGGCCATCATCCAAACTTCTTCACCCCCTCCACATCTTCCACAAACCCCATCATACGGTATCATGTCGGCAGAGAGGTCAGTGGGCCACCCCCACGTGTTACGCTCTGGACTGACACATATGTAGCTTTGTCACGATGGCGAATCACTCGGCAAGCCGCCACAACGTCATCTTGGTCATGATACTGACTCGTTGTGTAGGTTACGTCTGAGACAGTCATTGCACTGCGGCAACAGCTGAACGCGCTGGCGCGCAGCCACGAGAACCTTCTCAACGAGCTTCGCGAAAGGGACAATAGGCTCCAGGAAGTGTTCTTCAAGTTCGAATCCCAGCTACTGCATATGGCGGAAAAGCTTAATGAATGCGGCGAGGAAAGCGCGGGCGCCTGCATCATGATCAAAGCCATCGTCAAGGAGGTGGAGGAGATCGGGGCGAACTGCGAAGGCTGGGAGTTGGTGGATAATGCCTGAATTCTGCGCGCTTGTGAACATTGTATTTCTGTAGTGTCTCCTTCTCCAAGTATCCCATCCCATCCATTTACCCGCTCGACTCGATGTATGTGACAGTGCTTCTGCAATGCTATAATGCCTCTTAGCGATATTTACCCTTCTCGAGACGTCGCGCTAGAGCGCGCTGAACATGAACATGGTCTGGCCACATATAGATGTACAACGGTGACGTCTGGACTGCACTTCGTATCTCTCGCCTGTTGCTGCTGTTCAGGTTGTCAAGGGCCCTTCGCTCTCGGCATATCATATTTCGCTTCTGTGCTCGGGTTAATCATGCACAAAGCCCGGTCCGGGAAGTTGCCCCCCCTGTTCTCTAGGCTCAGGTAGCCAGGGGCACCAAGATCATGGATCGCAGCGAATACATTGAGCGGTGGAACTGCATGATAGCCTTAAGAGCCATGCCGCCGCTTACATCTCGAGTGCGTTGATCCAGTTCTTGATAGTCACACACATATCGACTACGTCGTCATACGCGGTCCACGCACGAGTGCACTCTTCAAAACGCCGCTCTAAATCGTTGTCGACCATTTCCAGCTCGGCCCTGACTTCTCCCACTACCGCGTCTGCTTTGTCGATACTAGCGTCGTGCGCGTCAGTATTGAGTCGTTCACCGTCTGCATTGACAGCCTAGATGTGCAGCGTTATCCTGGAGTAACCTTCTGATCATTTGAGCGCTTCGTAACGGACGTACTATCACAGGCAAGTGGAGAAGGGCCTTCAAGTGCCTTTCCGCTTGGCGATGCTTTAGGACTACGTCCTTCCGATGCCTCTCCAACTGGAGACGCCCCTCCTGAAGTGAACATGCTTCATTCCATAACGCCTGAGAGTATCCTCTATTGAGCGTCATAATTAGTAGAACCGTGGGAGCAACGTGCCTCGCGAACGCCGCGAAAGATAGCAAAGCTGCACTTTAACTCGTTGAGATTTCCAGAGTTCTCTGAATCCACAACCCTTCGCCACTGTATATTATCAGCATGGGAGACACTACGGAAAGCGAGAAACGTACATAAGAGTGCATGATTACATTAATACGCTGTCTCTCGCTGCTGCCACCATCCATGTTCATGCTCATTGACTTTGGTCGGTTGTAAACGCACGCAGACGATTGAGTAGGGAGCACTGTAATGTGGCAAAACAGACGATACGGGCTCAAGAGAGGAAGACAAGCGCAAACGGGATAAAGGCGGCGCTCACTAGGCGCTCACGAGAATCCGGCATCGCCCGCTTGGAAGCCGGACCCCAGCCGCTCACTTACTGTTCATCAGTTGACCGACTACGATGACTGCATTGCGGGGCGGGTGGTAGACGTACGCGTGGCGTTGTTTGGGGCTGATATAATATGCGCGACCACACAGGAGACCCTGCGACGGAGAGAACATCGAGGGTGCTTTTGAACTCATTTACTGGTCTCAGTACGTACGATGATTCAAGTTGGCGCATTGGGCGAGCGCGATAGATGTACGATCGTCAATAGGATTATCACCAGCAGATCGGAAAGCAAGGCTCAAGGACAGATTGGAAGAGAATCGGGAGAGATGGTCGTGGTCAGGAGCTACTACTAACCGACTTCGTCAGAGCGCGTGCCAACGTAGGCCAACGTCCATCCCTGAATCTACGTACGTACTGGATACTGCTTGGTCGCCACTCGCCCGGCCACTGTGCGTCACAAACAGGGTGGACTCGCGGCGATCTGGGCTTTTTGACGGTCATGGATGCATAAATAGCCCTGGTCAGTAGCCCTTGGTGTGGGAGCAGCGATCTATAAGGTTCGTCCGTAGACTAATCCTTACACGAGTACAGTGTACCTCCCACCTTCCGGCCTTCAGGTACATTCCGTGTTTTGCGCGCCACTTGCCTTTGGACGCGTTTGGGCACTTCGACGGCCGCCACGGGCAGACCTTGTTCTTATCGATTAGCGGGATTGTGTGCGACCCCGCTAATCGATGCTCACATTCGTTGCTCGACACTCAGATCATGTCTTCACCCGTCGACCTTATCACTCTCTTCTCGTTACAAGGCCGTGTCGCTCTTGTCACTGGCGCCGGCTCGGGTATTAGCTCATATATCGCCCACGCGTTCGCACCCGCCGGCGCCGCTCAGGTCTACATCACCGGCACACCCAGCGCGCGATTCCTGTGGGCATCCTTGCCGCCACCCCAATAGACATCGGCACCGCCTAGAGCGAGGCGTGTGCCGTTGTGGTCTCAGCCAGCGAACGCGCGCGCGGGTTTGATGTTGACCGCGACTAGCGGTTTGGGCACCGCGCGAGCGACATTTTTGGTGCGTCCGGCGTTTCGCTCTAGTGCGCGTAATTTTGACTCTGCACCTTTAGCCGTACGCTTTGCTGTACCTGCGGCACGCAAGAACACTTCATGATGCTCATTGTCGAGCCGTTCCAGTTCGTGCATGCTGTTTGGTCCGATCGCAAGCTCAGCTTGTACACACCCGCTAAGCGTGTTTCGTAGTATCGTAGTATGGTGCGTCAGTCTCCTTGTTTAGAAATGGTATCTGCTGAGTGTTGCGGCGTAGATGACCCGGCCAATGAGGCAGCATTCGTTACACGGTCTTCAGGCTCAGACTCGTCGTCAACCGGCTCGAGAGCAGGCATTTCGCCGCTAAAGTCGTTCGAATCCAGTTTGAGGTCCTGCATGCTCGCCGGGGATTCTGAGCTAGACGAGCTCGATGTCGTGTACTCGCCGGTCGGATCTGAAACTACTATCAGAGTCGGCATACTGCTGCGGGTGTCATCGTCCGAGTTTGCAGATGTGTTGAGCACGGTGTGTAGTTCTGGCAGACGTGTCTTCTGCGTCCACTGATCCCGTCATCCAGTGGTGCTTTCCTCGCGCCCAGCTGGGGAACTGTTTGTCGTCGAGGGCTTCAAGCTCGGGGATATCATCCTGTGCGTCGCTGATACAATCAGGGTGTTCACGCGAATCGGCTAATTTGTCGTTCAGGCCAGACGGCGAGCTCACGTCTTCTTCAGCGATGTCTGACAGACTTTGAGCGGGTACTCCGGTGCTCCTTGGAAACGTGTAGTACGCCCGTTCATACCACGAGCGTGCCTTGAATACGTCGTCAAAAAGGGATTCACTGTACTCGGCATCGAAGTCTCGACCATGCACGTAGTCAATGATCTATAGCTTTTCGGTTGCAGCCTCGATGCGCAATGGGTCTGGGGAGTTGGTGTCTGTGTAGCAGTCGTCGTCAGCCTTGTTATCGAAAGCGTATGGGACTCTTGCCAGAAGACCCTCGCGTACAACTTGAATCACGGATTCCGCTTGTTCGTCACGAAGTTCCTCGTCGACCATGTTGGGGGCGTGTTCACCGTATGATTCGCTGTCGGACGGCTCTTACTGAGCTTAGTTCGAAACTGATCTTCTGAGTCAGGAGCCAATTGACGACGTCGGAGTCGTCTCGCATGATCTGCTCCTGCTCGACGTGCACCTCAGGTTCTACATGATGAACTGTGAGCAGGTGCTGTCCGTCTTCGATGTAGACTATCGAAGAGCGGTCTGGGTCGAACGGATCGTTCAATGCATCGTTGAAGTTATCATACACCAAAGGTACGGCTTTGCGGAGGCTGCAGAGTGTACGTGACGAGAACTGACCGTCTTAGCTGTCGGAATTTGGCCGCAGACGTATCAACGTCAACTGCCGCTGCCATCAGGCCAAGTTGTGTGGCCCGGTCAAAGGGATCATCACTCCCTGCGGATACGCGAGCTGTAGCTGCTCGTAGCCGTGCAAGACGCTTAACCGTCTTCATGCATGAAACGCGTAGGCCGCCCTCTGCGAAGAGTTATCCATAACCACTCGAGAGACTACCATCTACACGGATGGACCACGCCTCAGTATTAGAGACACGGTGCAGTTGCGAGTGCCGGCGTATCCTTTGATAGAGGAGACGGCAAAAACCTCACCGTGCGAGTTTCCGGTGATCAAACGAACGACCGAGGAGTGGCCTTCGCTATCTGGCGAGCTGCTCTGACTATCTCCTCGTTCTCTACCCGGATCTCCAGTGAGCAATCGGTCTCCCTGCCCACGGGGCTCTTGCTAGAGATGTCATCGATTGAGACCGTCCAAATAGCTGCATACTCCTCGCCGGCGTGAAACACGGAGTATCAACTACCATCACACACAGACCAATATGAAACCCGCAATTCTAATGACAACGATCGAGGCGGCAGTACAAATGAGGCCGGATGTAACCTTCTACGTGTATAGGCTGGCAAGAAGTATATCGTCCTGTCGCCATTCGGGTCCACATCGTGGTGCCCATGCGCTCACAACTTGTAAACATCACGAATCGCCATCCCAGACTGCCGACGTGCCTCCGAAATCTCGTCCAACATCCCTGCAACTGCAGTATTGAGCTCGTCAACGGGAGCCACGGCTCCAAAGTTCCTGCTTAATAGCGGACCAGCGCGTGAATCCTTCAACTCCAACATGCGAAGTTTGGGGAACTTCGAGTAGCTCGTCGAGGACGGTGGGAGGAGGAGCTGCTGTAAGAGACCTGCAAGAGACCTCGCTTGGCGTATATCGCGGGTCTTCCAACAACCGGGTATGCGTACGTAGAGATGTGTGATTTCACAGAGGCTACCTAGACATGGTAGCCAGGCGCAGTACTCGAGATCGAAACGTTCAGGAAGGTCTAGCTCCAATTCCTGGATAGAGTCGGGTCCTACGTCGGCGGTGAACTGTGTGAGACCGACGCGGAAGTGCTTGGGACATATCGTTGCGTAGGAGAGCAGACGCTTGGAAGACTCCGGACCTGCCGCGTCGACCCCTTTGACTGAGATCCGAGCAGTCAGGTCGGTAGTTGACTGCGTCTCCTCGATGGAGAGTCTCTTCGTAGCAGAGGACCCGTGTCGCTCGACGACGAAAGGCATGAATATCCTTTTGAAAAGACCTGACACGTTTGAATTGGTAGTCTCGAGGCGTACAACCGCGGAGGTTGGGTATCGTATGGCGGTAGCGAGTAGAATGACGGTACAAGCGTCTACACGTACATCCAGTCGCTCGAGATTATCCCAATAAAAGGAATCGATGGCATCCATATCGGGAGACGAACGTTGTACTTGATAGTGATGCGAATGGTCGTATCCGGTGCAGTGCAATCGAAAGGTAGTAAGCGTTTTCAAACCTCGAAGCGCGGTCCCGAGATGGAAGTGTGACGAAGGCGAGAGGCCAACACCGACGCCAAACTCGAGGTCGAGAAGTGTGAGATTGGAGAGCCTTACGATGGCCCAAGGGAACTCATCGGCTTTACTGGAAGGGAGTTGAAGGACTAATTCCTTGAGTTGTGATGTCCCAAAGAGGCGTAACCAGAATTTCGTGATGACAATGGGGTTCTTTTGGATGACGAGTCTCTCCAGGGAAGAGCGCTGGCAAGACTCATCACCAAGAGCTCCAATGCCGGAGAGAGCCTTTGTAGGAAGGCAATCGGGAGCCTCAAGAGTGTGAATACGGGAGTGGACGTCATGTATGAAATATGTCATCCACTTTTCGTGCGCGGGAGGTACTGTGATCCTGACCGGCCCGGGTTGGCTGCGCTCGGCAAAGGCGTATGCCCAGACGTGTCCGAGGTTGAGGGGGACGCGCGTCCAGAGTGAGGCATCCTCCAGGGAAATGGTTCGCCATCGAGAAGATACCTGCGTAACCGTGATCCAGCCTAGTCGCCAGTACATAAGGGATCGTGAACGGCTGCGACTCGTCTCGTCTGAGCTGTAAGGCCGCATCTGGAATATTATGTTTGAAGGAAGGTCGAGTAAAGCCTTGGTGGGGTTCACTTCAAGAAGAAAGTGAAAGATATGGAGGAGAGTCTCGACGGCAAGGCATCCGGTGGCATCCGGTGGCATGGGCAACGTTCCAGGCGGGGTTTCTTCAGGCGACATGTCAACATACTGATAACTGTGTCAGTTCCTAAGACCTGGTTCTAGACGTGTGGCTCTACACACCTCATCGGTGGAAGGCAACGTTAGTGGAAGGCAAGACATCAGGATACGAGCAGATGCGATCGTGGTGGCTAACAACGCGGATTCTCTGTACGAGAGCGCGCATCGGCTCGCATGAAATCCGCGTGAAAGTCACATGGGCTCTATAGACAAAGGTAGACGGACGCGGACGTGTCTTAAGGCACGCATCAATGGTATGGGTCAGATCAAATGTTGAGACAACTGCAGGAGCATATGATACCGATGGGCACCACAGCACAGCTCGTCGTCGATACCTAGGAGCTTTGACGTAGCACGTCTCGTTTCAGCAAATCATGACGAGGTCAGACTTAGCATCTACATCTGTAAGCCCGATGCCATCTGGGCTGCAGCCTGTACACCTTGCGAATGAACAGCGTGTGTATAATGCATACGATTGGTGTGAACGTATCTCATGTGTGTGGCAACCCCACTGTGCGGAAATTGCAGGGGAGCCTATGACAGGTGGAGGTGCAGAGGTAGCGACAGATGACGAAAAGCTCGGGCATCAGGTTCTCCGAGTTGGGATGGGCAGGATTGTAGATGCTATCCCAAGTCCATCGTCCAAGGACCTGAAGTCACATACGCGCTTCACACTAGTGAGTACGGCTTGACATGGATGCATGTGGTTATAACCTTATTGGGGCCTTCCGGGAGCATCAGCCAGCCCTGCTCTCCTACATGGCCTTCCCTTTCCCCTCTCTCTCGTTCTCGACGCGTGCCCGCGTCACGTATCTCCCCGCGGTCGCTAATCGTTGAGCTAGGCGATCCTTTCCCCTCCCGGTAGACCCGTGCTTTCGCACCCTTCAGCGCGTACTGAACATTCCCCACGTGTCCGGAGGTTGAAGTAGTCTTGGTACGGCTTAGAAAGTACAAGCTTGTCTGGAATAGCGAGTGCACGAGTTTCTAGTGCACCAATATAAGGCGAATGTAAATATGCCCCGTGACGAGGTTGGATGGGTAGATGGTCAAGAGTACAATGATGAAGGCGCTGAAGGTGGTTCGAACACGATCAAAGCCGTCAGGAACCCACAGATCGCACGAGACCGGACTTGACACTCACACCCCACCATGCCGGTCACAGTATTGGACTATGATATTTCCCTGGTCAGCCAGGGAAAAGAGATACCCGCGTTTGGCTTAGTGTCAGAGCATGAAGACAGTGTATCGTGTTGCGTCACCAGCGTGGCCAACAGGGTTAGCCCGTGCATCATCGTGTTCTCGGAGACTGCCTAACAAATATATGCGCAGGAATTTCAAGTACAACTTCACAATAGATCAGAAGAAGGGTACTCAGTCGATTTCGATGTCTACATGGATGGACGCAAGATGGGAAGACATGTCGCGGATCCTAACGAAAAAATCACAATGAAAGGCGTGTACGAGACGTCCACGTCCTGTCATCCATTTCAGTTCTCGCAACTTCATCTTAAAGGTGCGCGCGACAAACGCAGTAAATCATATGGCTAACAGGCCCCGATAGAAATTGACGATCCTTTCAAGGACTACGACGTCACTAAAGTCGGTATTATCGAGGTCCGGATATATCGCGTTATTGCTCAGGAGAATGTACGAGAGGCGTTTGCACCTCGAAAGGCTGCGGAAAACTTGTCGATCTCTGAGGAAACTAAGCAGATCGGTTTGCACGTAGTGACGTATGATCGTCGGCACCGGCTCCTCCCTCGTACAGTCTCAGACATCTCTGATTAGGTTGGGGAAATCCAAGGCGATGCATGGACCGGCGATTGTTCCCACTCTGACGTTCCTCGATCCGCACCACGAACCGCACGCTGTCTGCCGCTTTATGTATCGGCCTAAAGGTTTGGGATCAATCATGAATATAGTCCTACGGCTGAGTATTGCTAGGTTTCTGGAAAATGAAGGGTTTACTGCCCAAGGCGAAGGTGCCTGAGGGAATTGAAGTCATCGACTGTACCTCTCTGGACTGAATGCTGTTTATCTCATTATCCGTGTACCGCACACTCTGCTCGATTCGACATTCAATGCCAACTTTCGGTCTGTGACCTCGTATACCCTGCCTCTCGGTTTCACATAGCCATAAGCAACTCGATCACTGGTCGCCAATATATCCAGGGACCCTGTCTGGCTTCTAAGTCGTGCGCCAGCTCCATTTCTGTCGACGCGAGCAGCTTTCAATGGCCAACACGACGATGTGGAGGATATAACTCCCACCCGGGTTACATCACGTCATCATTCTGTCGCACGGCATGGTTTACGGCGGAACTCAAATGCACAGGCACACATGATAGTCTCGCGCCCTCGATTCGTTGCCCGACCAGTATGCTATGCCCCTTAAGGAACCTGAATGACTTTGGTGAGCAATTGCTACAAAATTCTGTGTTGCTCAGCGCTCAGCCTTGAGTGCGCTGCTGTCTTCACCGGATTCCTGCGAGATGCGCTGACGATAGGATACTGGTTCGCGGCTGAGCTTCGTCAACCCTAACGCGCCCTCTCAAGGCCAATGTGGAGTCGAAGGTATCGCGAGTGTCGTATAGGACGTCTTGGGACGAGACGTGATTCAGGGAGTAGGCTGGGATACTGGTGAGGTGACGTAAGCATTTCTATACGCGAAATACTATCTTGACGCGTCGAGTAACGAGCGCCCTATGCAGTCTTCCGGATCACCCTCAGCGGGCTCTGCCGCTCCGGCGATGCCTCGGCTGATGTATAGAACAACACTGTGTCTGCCCAGACGTCTCCGGGTCGCAACGTTGTGACTCAGATCCTGCCATGCGGGGTATACGTTTGTGATCCATCCCTCGAGTCTATATCTATGTGCACTTCCGCGTGTTCTCCTCCGCATTAGATGCCTCATATACTGTGTGCGCAGTATCCCCAGATATTCGTGAGTACCACGAACTATCAGAATGCGTCGGACGATCTGGATTTCAGACTCTTGGCTGATGGACCGAACCAATCTAACCGAGGGCATGCTCGTCAGTATGAAGGCTGTAAGTCAAGACTGCTATCGCACATCCGTACGAAACAATCCGCCACCACGGCCACACTATCTTTCTCCTTCTTCCCCAAGCCCGTCCTCGCGCATCCTACACGACGGTATCCCTGAGGTTGTTACATCTCGACATGGCTTAGTAGCGCGAGGCTTTAATAGCAGCGACTAAGCTTGACGCGCTGCGTCTCGTTTAGTTTTCTCCCCTCTGCTCAGACGACTCTGCGAGTCTCGTAGGGGAGCATACATGCTGCACGACAGAAGCACAGATAGGTAGTAGATGAGGTCTAGCAGCTCGGGGAAGGAGAGCCGGCAGGTGAACAGCCCCTCTCGGACATGAGCACGATATATATTTACGCGTTGCAACGCATAGTCTAATGTCTGTCGTCGTAACAGAAGCCCTCACGTCGATTATACAGAACAATCCCTAATGCTCGCCACAGCATACACTACAGATCCACTCGTCAATGGGGATATCCTCCTTCGACATCTTGATGCAGGATATATGCCACCCGCGGTCGCACGAATCGCATAGCAGCATGGATCGCGCCTAGTACTCGTTTTACTCATGAAATTCATCGCATAGAATGGAGCACGAATACTCACCCTTCTCTGACTACTGCATACTTCGCATCGTTTACAGTCAGGGCACCGCCAAGCGTACGTCCGTATCGTGTCAGCCATCTTGGATAAGCCCATGCAGGAGGGGTGACCTGCCAAACATGAGTCTTCGGATGTCACTTCTCCGCCACAACACGTACCACGCTCACGACAATCAACGCATGCGACCGGCGAATCCTCGATGCAATGTCTTATTCGTTTGTCAGAGCACAACTCGTAATGGCCCTCCTTCACGTATTGGTCGTTTCTTCCCGGCTGGATAAGTTGCGCGACCGGTTGTATCTCGAATGTGGATTCCATCCGAGCTGTCGGGGTTGAAACGGGATGTGAAAAGTTGCCGTTCTCAGCTGGTGCACGATGCACGGATACTGCACGGCGCCTATCGCGAGCGGCGTCTAGCATGCGCAACGTACACGGCGCATTCTCAGGTTCGAAAAGTAGCGGGAGAACCTATTGCAACTCGTTAACGGCGCGGACGTCATTCATATCACAAAGTGAACACACATCCCAATGTCCTCGTAGACCGCCTAGCACAATAAAACATAGCTCCCGCAGGTTCCTGCCACCGTTCTGTGCACGCGGCGGGAAGAGAGGATGAGGGTACCTAGTCATCGCAGCCAGGTAATATGCCTGTAGCCTACTACCGCCTGACTCGATGGATAGAGTCGGGAACTGGGCCGCGCGCAGCGAAATGGTAGTGATGGCGTCGAGATTGCCTTGCCTGTGGGCGGAAATGAGGCTGGCACGATGAAAAAATCGCGCCTCAATGGCGATGGCTTTCGACGTGGAGCTTAGCCATCCGGGGGGAGAAGGAAGGAGTTGCATATGGACACGCTCAAAACAGCCAACCAGATAGTCTCTGCAGGCCACATACTCTGCGGACAGGGACATAGCGTCTACGTCTACGCTCTCCATGTCGAGGGTGGTTTGGAGAAGGAAGGACGTCACCGCACAATCGTAGGTTAGTCTGAGGGCGTCGATGAACAGAAGCCACTGAAACCGGTCAGTCAACTGCGCCACAGTCGAGTCTAGTCACACTCACGTGCGCCTGCATTATCAGAGAGCCTCTCTCGTCAGCTGGTGCACCACCACCAGCACGAGAGATGAGCGTGACGACATCGTCCTGCATGAGCGAAGGCCATGCGATCAAGGGGCATTGTCGATCGTACACATTGTCTGGGATAGCATTTACCCAGAATCTCCGCTGAAAGTGACTCACCCTCAACGTTTACTCTCGACACACGCAGATGTAACGTACCTGAGCGAGCACCATTGCGTCGGCGAGGGAACTATCTGTTATAGAACCGGCTGCCTGCATAGCGTCTTGACAGATCGTCTCTAAGGGCAGAGGTGGGCGCAGTACATGGATATCGGACTGGTACAGGATGCAGTCAGTTCAATATGGATGGAGAAACAAAGAAGGAGTCACCATCCAAGCCTGTTTATCGTTGAATATAGCGTCCAGAGCAGACATATCGCGATTCGTTTCAGCCTCACGGATTCTAGAGCGAGTTTGGTTGAGGTATTTGCACAGTTCCATAGGGACCGAGCGCAAAGAAGGATAGGCAGCGCGTATGTTGTACGCCTCATGTGGCATGATAGGCAAGAAATGGGGGGTGAAGATAGTTCTCAGTGCGCACGGCATCTCGACGCTCGCTTATAGAGGGCATCGAGAGTATGGCAGACAAAGGGATGAGATCAAGGGACGGGACAAAGGAAACAATATTTCTTGGATCATGAGATTCCTCCCGTGCACGATGCAGGTGCCCCTAAAGCTATCCGAGGTATCCTCACCTGTATATGGGGAGCATTACATCACAGATCCTCGGGACACATACCAAGCTCTCTTCAGACAGTAGCATAGAAGGCCTGGACACGCTAGCATTGGAATTTTTTTTCAGAATTAATACAAGGCAACCGCCATTTGGTGCTTCAGTAGGAAAGATATCGCCGCATATCTATGAGTTCATCGTGACAGACGATGTGCTGCGGCAGAAGAATAATGAAAGAAAATCATGTACACGACGCCGCCCATCGAGCACGACGGCATCAGGTTACGCCTCAGAAACTCTGATGGCGATGAAGTGAGGAGATAGCCATCATATGTGCATGACTTTACGCACCGGGGGCACACCGCGCAAGCACCTGGCACTTTGTTCAGATTGTAACGGTGTGCTGGCGCGTCATTCCTGTGACATGTCAGGATTAGGATAGTAGCCGCCAATGGTAGCATCCTACGTTGTGTAGAGGAACACTGTGCATGCATTGTTCTTCTCGGGGTCACCATCGCGAGCTCGCGTTGCGTCCAGCGTGAATGGCGCAGGGACAGAGTCTAGGGTAGATCCTCAGCAAAGAAAAGACCGGTCATAGGAAGATACACACCAGCTATGAAGCCCGTCAAGTCTGAGCTCAGGTTCCGCATTATGGCGTCAAATGAGACTGCGTCATCGAGAACATTGTCGACATCCGTAGAATTGATTTTGGTCATGATGTGGGCGCTCGCAGTGTGGACTAGTAGACCGACGATGAGCTCAACTAGTGACGAGGAAGAGACAGAATGCATGCATACTGGATGGAACGTAGCACCATTATACATATCCGGTCCATGACGCCTTTGTCCCAAAGCCACAAAGCCGCACCTCCTACGCCCTCTCCGCGGAACAGGCCAGCGTGATTGCGTGCACCAAGTACACCGAGCACAGTGTAAAGAATCTGGGACATCACAGCACCAGCCAGATGAGTTATTCGTGCGATCATATCGAGAGAAGGAGGGTATCACCGCAGGAGAGGCAAGACGGAAGCAACCATTGGTTGCAACTTCACAACGGCATGTGACGTCGGCGGCGTTTGCCGTTTGGGGACGAACCGGTTCGGCGCGGCTGCACGAGTGCACGTGTGCAGGTCGTTCATTGACCGTCACCGGTGCGGTCGCACCAGACGAATTCCACACTGAGCAGTGAGCAGCATCTCTGTATGTGATGGCATACTCTCGATCGCTCTCGCGTAGCGTGTATCTCAGCGTGCAGTAGGTAGTGACTGCTTACGTAGGCGCGCCCTTGACTGAAGCCTCATTGTGAAGTCTAGCTTTGTGGGTCATCTCCAAGGACATGTACTATAATATGTGCGCCTCGGCGCTCGATCCATATTCGCCCTCGCAACTCGCTATCCCTCTCTCTCGATATGTCTGGGCGCGATGAATCTCGTGATCCGGGATCCCCGCCGTCCTCCCAACATGGACCGACGCCTATGTCCCCGCCGGCGGACGACAATCCTTGGGCGTCAACTACGCACTCTGACCATCCAGTTTCACCTGTACCCGATGTACCTCAATGGCCCACTTCTCCTCCAATGCGCCAACTTTCACCAGTGAACTTCTCCTTGCCGCCGTTTTCGTCCCTCTTCTCGGCTGCGACTCAGGGCCGCGCCCATAACTCTGCTCGAAGGTCTCTCTCCCCGGAGCCGGTCGGGCATCCTGACGATCAGGGCTCCGGTCCCAAACGGCCCAGGATGTCGACACCATCTTACCTGCAAGCACAGTTCTCCAGTAGCACGGCTCCGAAACTCAGATCGACCCTCCTGCCGAACCGCAAGCCGCATGTGCCGGGTTTCTTACTTGCACAGCAGGTCAGTCCCTAACTTTGCGACTTTGATATCAGCTGACGCCTGCTCTCAGGAGTTAGAGCGCCAGCACATGAACGGTCTAAAAGAATATCAGATGGCCGCAGGATCGTACGGTGGAGGCGTTGCTTTACCCGCAAGACTCAATGTGTTCCCTGATCCTCAAATCAACTCGACGGCCGTTCCCCTTGGTCGGCCGGCGGCTGCTCCTGTGACGGAACGTAGCGAAGATGGAGATGATGATGAAGAGGTGCGCTTGTGGCCTCTAATGTTCTATGATCGTTCGCTAAGTTTCGATAGATGCTCGAGGCTGAGCGTCGCTCGAGACGAGCAGAGAAGCAGCCTCAGACGAATCCTGCTACGGGTCCTGAGCCAAGCACAAGGTACGTCCGCCGTGGGCTTTCATTCCTTCAGAAACCCTCTCACGTACTACGGGCAGCCGTACGTCGTTCGATTCCGGAGGCGCTGGATCTACCCGCAAGCGTGCCGCATCTCCAGACTTGGAGAAACCTGAGGATCGCAGGCCAGCTCCTCCGCAACAGTCCGCGGGTTCGCCGGCCGAACCGCCCGCAAGCAACACTGAACCTGCCCGCAAGCGTACTGCATCTCCAGACGTGGAGAAACCTGAGGATCGCAGGCCAGCTCCGCAACAGCCCGCGGGTTCGCCGGCCGAACCACGCGGTAGTCCTGTCTTTGGGTCATCATCTTCGACGCATCAAGAGACCGCGGTGCGTCGGGAGTCTTTCCGCATTCGTCTGACAACCTAAATATGGTCGTCCTCATCAGGACACAAATCCCTCGTCCCCACAGTCGAGCCACCACCCCTCGCATCCTGCGCCAGACGTGAGCGTCGTTCACTACGTTCCCATTGCCTCGTGACTCACTATGCACAGAACACATCGCATACAGGGCGTACCCGTTGGGTGCCTCCTCCCACTGCTTCCGAGACCGAGGCAAGTGGCGACCCATGTTGACCGCACGTTCTCGGCAATTGACTTCCTTTCACAGGTCGCGCTTTTCCATGAAGTCCGCACTAATTCCAACGACCTCGCCCTTATGCGCGCGGACATGAACTTGATAGCGATCAACCTCAGAGGCGCTCGTGCACCTTCGAACGCCCAACCCGGTCCATCCCTTCCCGATGACGACACCACCAGTGCTACACACGCCCGCGAAGCTAAGCTCGATCGTTGGGCCACTGCCGCTGGATTCAAGACGGCGCGCAGAGTCCGTAGTAGGGGCAAGGACAAGAATCGGCTCGCTGTGAGTACTTAGTGCCCGTCGGATCATGTATGCATGCATCGCAGTCGTTGATACCGTCTCTAGAGGGATGTGCGGGAGATGACCTTTGGTCTATGCGGCAGGGCGACGCGCACGTGCCCCTTTGCACGCCCTCCCCCGTCGGAAGATGCGGTTCTTAATTTTTACCGGACAGGGCGAGGCGGGCCGACTCGAGAGACGTTCATGTTCGCGACGAGCCCGAGCAAGGTCAAGAACATGTGGAACATCAAGTGCGGCGAGATTGTCGCCGAGTGTCTAAGGAACGACGAAGGGACCGACTACTCGGAAGAAGACAGCGACGCGATTCAAGCCGCATTCGACACCTACCTGATAACACTCAACAAGCACCTCAACGACCGTGGCTTCGTCGGCGGCCCTGCAACCGAACCCAGATGTCGTTGGACCAAGAAACAAGCCCAGACGGCGCGAAGGAATGGTCGCCGAGAAACGGTGAGCGCGATCGGTCGAACACCCTGCAGTGCTGGGCGTTGATGGCTTCATACAGACGGGCGAGTCGCGCCTCTTGGCCCTTGAATTGTCAGATCTACCGGCAGATGTCGTAGACAATTACAAGAAGGTGGGCCTCGACGGAGGGAGCGACGACGAGTCAGACCACGAAGGTCAAAGCAATACCTTCGCGATCAAGGAATTGATGTGGCAAAGTTCCCAGATGCGCACCCTTTCCCGGTGTTTGGATCTCAAGAATCTGTCTCTCAAGTTTAAAGAAGATGGAACAGCCCGGCCTGGCAACTGGCCTCGTCGCCGTATCCCATCGCAGCGTCCTCGACCTGCCTTTACGGTAGAAAGCGCAGGGGAAATATTCAAAGGGGCAATACAGGGTCTCCCAAAGAACTGGTATGACCAGATGTGGCTACACGCTCTGGCACCGCCGTTGTACGAAGCCCTTCGCGTCGGTCCCGAGGTCGAGATTGAACTTCCCCAGCCGTTCATCATGTGAGTCCGACAGCTCCGCTGGGTACTTGCTTCAGCTGATCGTGACCATCTCTCAGGGAGGTCGCACGGTATATACACCTTGCCGTTCCCACTTTGCCTGACAGCCCCGCCGAAAGGGCCAGACGCTCGGCTTTCAGCGAGCAGGCCGAAGCGCAGGAGCAATTGATGTACTGGTTGCGTACAGGACGCGCACAGCAAGCTGATTCCGGGCTCGCATGATAGGCGCGGGAAGGCTGAGAGTGAATACGTCTCCGTCTGTGTATCCTTGACATATATATATATATATACCGCCCTCTGAATTGTGAATATGGCGTTTGGTTACTTCGACGAGCGACAGATAATTATCATTCAGTGGAACTATACGCGCTCGTCTTATACAGCAGTTTACTCCCCACCCGACGTAGTGTATACTCGTTCTCCACCCTTTACAAGGCCCCGCTCGCGGTCGGTATCCAAAGCGGCTTTTATCTCGACCTGTGTGACATTCGCCTGAGTATTTTCGTCAACGGGACACCTGCCGTGAACGGCATTCTCGCAAAGCATGGGCGTGGGCGGCGAACAAGTTCGCCGCCCAGCGGAAGATCCCGAGTCACGTGATTTTTGAAGACGCGCGCGCACCACGCGTGCTCAAGAGCCTGAACCACCTTCACTATCATCATCTTGCGCATGCAGTCGCGTCCGACTCGCTTCTAACACTAGTCTCTCTGCTTCCATGGCCAAACGCTTATCCTCTCGGAAGAACACGCCCATCAGGTCACTTGATCAGGAGCCAAAACGGGGGAAGGGCGGTGCTCCAGCGACTGAATACGGGTTCAGGCTGTCGGACGTACACACATCCGGCGCCCTTGCATCTCTATCTCAAGTCTCTGAGACTCGGCTCTGTCAGAGGCTGGCTTTGAGATGTGATAGTCCCCTTATGGACCACATTCCCTTCACACCGGGCATGAGAACGGAGCCCTTGGTGAACTTGGTAGCAAGCAGTTTCAAGGACCATCCGTTTCGTGAGGTACACGTACAAGGAAAGTTTATGAGACAAGCCGATTCTGACTCTCTCGCGCGGCAGGATCTTGAGACCATGGCGGAGCGCGTGGGTTTATGGGAGACGAAGGAGGTTTACTCGGAGAGGTATGGCCAGGTGCTACGAGTGTTTGGAGTCGAGGAGCGCAGCGTCCGGGACTCCTTGCGGCATGATATCCGCGATTTTGATAATATCACTCGTGGTCTGAAAGCTGCCGATGTTTACAGCAGTCTCACCGTCTTTAAGATGATGGACAGCTTGTTGTGCATGCAAGATCCCTCGATGGCTCCCACGCTGCCACTCCTGCTGACTGCCGGCATCGAGCCCGAGCCTAAACCCAAACCCAGACTCAGGTGGTATGAACGGGTACGCCTATTGTTTCGTAGATGGTTAATACCTCTTCAATGCCAGCCAGGTCTACGACCGTTTCGTTAACAACTTACAAGAGGACGTGGGGGCGATCTCATCAGCCTTCCGCACACGCATCTCGTCCAACGAAGGTTCTGCGCACCCAGACAATGCCGTTGCCTCACCACCAGCTGGCGACAAGATAGGAGCGCAGATTGCGAACGCATGTTCGCAGCTGAGTGCGGGTGTTACAGTGAGCACAGTCACTATAAACTTCCTTTTGGCTGCTCTCGCTATGCGTTTCGTGAGATGGGTGCGCACCGTGTCATATCTTTGTGTATATGGCGCGCCTAAGATTTTTCTAGTCGGTTGCGAGACCATTGAACGAGGATCAAGAGCCAATTCCTCCAGGCGTACCCGAATTCTCCAAGTTCAACCATTATCTGCGTGATGTCTGCGGTGTAGGACGGTCAGTGTGGCCTCACTTTCGAGAAGTTGTGTTACCGATTCCAGCCCATTCCGTGCAGCGTCGTCAGGGAGAGTGCGGACTCACACAATCTACTCCAGGCCCTTTACAGCATGATCTATATCTCTCCGCTACTCCTATTGACCCCGGCGCTGCTGCATGATAATCCTTTAGCTTTTGGCAAACATCTGATGGTACGCTATAAAGCTACATGGTCGATTGAATACGAATCTGACATAAGGCTTAGTACTCGCGATTTATGCGCGCCCCTGCTCAAGACATGACGCGCTGGATGGTCGAAGGCAAGATAGTACAAGTAGCTCTCGATCTCGCCTTCACATCTGAGGAGTTCAACTTGGACACCGCACAAATCAAGATACAGGACGTCATCGAATCCGCACAACCAATGATTACATCGCCAATTGTCATGGGCTTCCCGGCAGTGGGTGATCTACGTACGATGCTCTCGCATTCCTATCCGAATCATTTACAGATGATGGTCCATAGAATGGCTCGAGGAAACTTGCTTGGACTCGCAGCGCGCTTCTGGTGTCGACGTTAACGCTCTCGCGGGTCAGAAGCGGGTGGGCGAGGAGTTGGAAACACCGAGAGCCAAAGCGGTACGTGATCGCCGTCTTCTCAACTTCCCGTACCAACCTGTCCTTTCTTAGCCCAGGTTAGCGTTGCCTCCTCTTGAGGCGGAATCGGGGCTCCACGGATCCGAGAGGGATGACAACGCAATGGCAAGCAATTGGCATGGATGTGACTACGGCAGCTAACCGCACCGATAGGCTCTCGTTGATGCAGTGCAAAGTTCGGCATCCCATGCGGACGACGAAGATCATCAAATGGCAAGCACTCAACTCAGGTCGATCGCTGTATCTGGCTGACTGTATCTCTAGCAACCCCTGCGCCCTTATCAGGAGCAGGAATCCGATAAGGCCGACGAAGGTCTTGAGATAGTCAGTATCCATGTTTCGTCGCAGTATATCTCTGACCGGGACCTAGCAAGCTCCGCGCCCTTGCCACGATAAGCTTGACGAAGGTCATGAGATGGTCAGTACCTGTGTATCCAACGCAGTATACCTTTAACCGTGCGCTAGCAACCTCTGCGCCCTTTCCCGGAGCAGGAACTTGGCGAGGTTGATGGAGCTGATGGCTCGGTGAGTGCTCGTGCGAGAACGCTGCACTGCGCTGCTTACCGCGGATATAGTATTCTCTGGATTCTGAGCCTGAGCCGAAAATCTTGAACCTTGACAAAGACGACAGGATGGTGAGCAGCACGCATTGTGAGAAGATATTCCTACGATAACGATGTAAACAGCTTTCTTCCGGTTTCGCTCGGCAGCCAGGGCCCCTGGACTCATGCACAGATGTGAACATCCATCACGCTCAGGCAGAGTAAATGCTGACTGTGCCCGTTGGTAGACCGGCACTGGCGGCGATACGATATCCGAGGAGGACTCGTGTACTGATGAAGAGGTGCAACAGTGGCTTGCAAGAGTTCTCGAAGAACCCACCTTCAGCTTGCGGATCCCTCCGTTACCAGAGGCAACGTAGTTATCCGTATTTGAACACCATTCGTCACCGGATGCTAATCGATCGTGTGACAGCCTGACCAATGCTCAACTCCAGGAATACAGGTATGAGATCTAACTCGTTCGACAATACCCTGCCAGAGGATAGATAACATGCTTTTAGGCGGCTACCCACCCTGCAGAAGAAAGCGTTATTGTAAGACCATTCATCACATGAAGTGTCACTGCCCAGTCTCACGTCCACGACGCAGGCGTTGTCATTCCGAGATTGAGCGCGAGACTGTTCTGCAAGTTTGGCTTGACGAGATAGCAGAAGAACAGTATCAGAAGCAGATACAGGACTTGGCCGATAAGCTTGTAAGTGCTCAGTGAATACCAATAATGCGTACTCACCCGGCGAAGCGCTGTGCCCAGTCCCCTGCAGATCAAGGCGCCTTGCATGAAAGTCCTTGCGATGAACTTGCTGGCCCGTCTCCAAGTAATGAAGAGCCCTCGCCAGTCGGCGAAGAACTCGCACCATCCAAGCAGGTGAGCAGTCAGCCCCCATTCACGAAAAATACTTACTCCAATATCATGTATAAAGACACCGTCCTGGACGTCACCATCAAACATCTCGGCCACCCCGTCACAGCCCACTGTCTCAGACAATTGTCGGTCCGTCGACATCACGTACGAGACTGTCCATAAGTCCCATACAGTCCCGGTCACGCTTCCGGGACCAGACGTAAGTCATTGTTCATTTATTCGCTGTCATGCATGTTCTCACCTATGGCAGGGTTACCGGCAACGCATCTGCGAATATCTGAAGGGCGTTGAAAATCTCAAGGACCGTTTTGACGTCCACGACGCCACCGCACAATTTTGCGAACTCAAGCATGATGAATTCAAAAGAATGCGCACGAATGATATCCTACGGGAACTTGGCGATGGCCACACGATCTACCTCAAGAGCCTCCCGTTATTTCTCAATGACTGGGAGTGGGAGCTTGAGTATTTGGAGAGGGTGGGTGGTTCGACGCAATGGCATGAGGTCGTCAGTGAGTCCATCGGAACGTTGTGTTTCGAACGCTTAACTAACGCCGCGAGTTAGAACCCAAGGTACCAAGAACCTCTTCTGAGATGCAACGCGATTTGGTGGAGTACAGTTGCATGCAACTACCATCTTTCTTACGCGAGGCGTCGGAGAACTGCGGCTGGGATATGCCGAAGATTGAGCTTTCGCACACCCCCGAATCATTCCCCCGATATAGGTGCGTGGTGCGCCTATAAGATGTACCCATTTAACGACGATCTGCGTAGCGACCTAGCTGAACATCTGATGGCCCTATCCTGTCGAGAAGGGGTGGTGGGGGATATCGAAGCCGGCCGAGAGTTTTTGGGTGGAGTACAAACGCAATGGAAACCTTTGGTGGATGTCTGGGGTGCCGAAGTGGTTTCACGCGTCTCTAGCGGGTTCCAATGGGCGAGTCTAAGCCATCCCGGTGCACATACGTTCACCCGCATCGATACTGGAGGCGCATGCTCGTATATCCTCAATCTTTCGGGGACGAAACGTTGGTCGACTGCTTGTACTTACCGCCCCAGGACTCAGACAGCTCGACTTCCTTCTGAGGCAGTTTCGTACGCTGCAACCTTTGAACCGTGTCAGGCGAATCTCGGACGGGGAGGTATGCTGTACTGGAGGTCTGTACTGACAAAGAAGCGGACGGCTATGTGAGTAGTGCCCTTGTTCCTACATCCACTGAATACAGCTCATAGTTATTTCTAGCATCATGCGACCGGGCATGGAACACGCGCAATTCACAAGCGGGACAGAAGGGTGCGCCATGATTGGCGCATACTTCTTCAACTCCGCCTGTCTGGGGGCGAGCTTTTGTGTGTATGTGTCGACCCTGATTGGGCTCTCGAATCTCACAGACACAATCCGCCATTCGATTCTACCCACGATACAAGCATTTCCGTGCTGGTGGGCCACCGCTGTGGATGGAAGTAAAGGTACATTGAATTTCCGAAAGTTAGTCAGGTGGCTGAGAAGTGATAGCATCTCGGTCGATGCCTCGTTGGAAGCAGGAAGGCGCGGAGCAATTTATCGCCGCCTTCGCGTTCGTCATCTTCAACTCGACTCTCACGTACGAGAATTATGCGCAGAACGAGTGTCAAGAGTACTCATCGGCTCTCGACGTGAGTGAGGATGTACGCTTAAAGATCGCACGCGCGTCCGTCCTTCATCTTTGGTCGGACGCGTGCTCCCGACACAGGATAGAAATGGAGGGATGCCCTGGCTTACTGCCGGTCATGACCTACGTCGGTCGGGCTATGATCACTTGCGCAAAGTGCTGGAGGGACTCTCGGAAGGGATGGACCGCAGTGCAAGTCGAGCGCATAACGGAGCTGGTGTTGCACGACTTGAGGGAGGCATTTGGGGACGCAATCGACGCTCGCGACCTCACCGCCCCATTGAAGCCCGATGCGAAGTTTCTGCCGACCGTACTCGTCAAGAAAGGTGTCACCCCGCGCGAGGAGTTGTGGTCAACATGATGTATTCTGTCGTCTTCTAGCTTGTTTTCAGTGTTCGGCTTGTATATGTACTCATTTGTTTTTGACCCTGTTGGATGACCAGCGCAAGAGATCTCAGACTTGTCATACTCAGCGTGTGATAGAAATTGCGTATATTAATTCCTTGACACCAGTGATGATACTCTTTATAAAGTCTGCATCAGAATTTTGTAGTCTATATCGCCACACGTAAGAGGCGGGTGACGATTTACGCCGTGTCGAGGGCTCAAAGTGGTATCTGTTGACATCTTCAGCATGCAAGCCAATCGTGGTGCAGAAGGGATCTACCGTATCGAGTAGTCGTTCAATCTCACAACGAAGGGTGGCCTTGGTGATCTCCAAAACGCGGTGTGCGACGCGGGGGCTTCTGCAATAGCAACACAGAGCTGCTCGTTCCCATGCTTCCATGAGCGGGGTTTCCAAAGCGTCCTCTATGCTCGATCGCTCGTCACTTTGCATAGTTGTTACTGTCGCGTGGACATATAGCCACCACCAGGAGCATACCCTCCATTCGCGGGAAGCGTCATCGTGCCCGACTTGGTGATGGTTGACCCAGATCGTCTTCTTTCCACAGGAGCATGGCAGAATGGAGTCATCCATAGCCCAAGCCTGTATCTGATCGGCCTGGATCCATCTGACTGGGTACTCCCGAGACGAGCACAACAGGATGGGCTGCAGACAGGATGGAACGGCGGCATGGTAGCGATAGAGAGCTATGAAAGCCGTCCCTGGCACTTCATCGAACTCTGGGAAGATCTCCAGCTCCTCATCGGGGTGGAAGAATTCTGGGAAGTCCAAGCACCGACGAGCAGCATATCGTACCGTCCTAAAGTAGTCGAAACGCCAGGCTACGGCATATGAGACAAAAGGTGAATCTTTGCAAAAAGTGACCAGTGCCCGTTCCGCTTTGTCGTGCATGAATGTGATATCATATTTCTGCGCGAGCATCGCCGTTCGTTTGATATCCATAATGCTCAACAATCGGGGCTCGTCGGTGAATGCCCGAGGGTATGAAAACCGCAAGAGTACGAGCAATGTGTCCGCGTCCTCAGCCATATGCACCACGGGACGGGAGGACGTGTCATCTACGCCAGGTGGTTGTGGGAGAGACAGCGTACTCTCAAAGATAGGAGCCACAAGAAGCAAGATAGCCTTGTAGACAGCAAAATCGACGCCATCGGAAGAGCGTAGAATTATTTCGGCGTCAGGAGCGTCGAATCGAGGATACATGGGGGGGATGAGTTCGGCGGTCACTAAGTCGAGTGCTTCAGCCGCCATAGCGCAAAAAGAGAAGGGGTCGATGAGACATGTCGACAGCGCTGGGCTATGATTTACCAGTGGGAATAGACAAAGATACCTGCACTTCAAAGGGTCTTAGTGGTCCTGTCAACAGTGTTCCTCAAAGAGGAATGAAAGAGCATCTCTGCACGTTGGCGATGATCACGGTGAAGATCCGCAGGGTAAAGAAACAAGGGCAGCGGTGCCGAAACTTCTCATGATAGTGGGAAAGCAAGGGGGACGAAGCGGCGACCCCTGTCCTTCGATCACACATAATGCCAGGAAGCGCAGGAAAAGCCGTCATTTCACTGTGCAAACCAATACAACTGGCGAGCCGCTACGTCGGAATCCAGATACATCAGGGGAGGGAACAAGGCTTAAGTTATATTACAACGGCGCGAGTGTGCTACAATATTCAAGCAGTGTCATCTAGATGTCCACCAGCCCGAGACAGACCTGAGGCCTGAGTAGCAATCATCTACAATGTACGTCTTCGAGCGTCCCTGGGTTTCCTTAAGTATACCATTCCTTCTTCTTCCGGGCCACGTACTCAGAGAGCAGTTGATAGTTCACCCCCACCTGTAAGACGCGGTTCGCTAGCGCAGTCTATGTCGTGCAGGAGTTCGAATGAGACAGGCTGTACCAGGCAATGGAATATGACGAACCTCAGTCGACGACAGGTCTTGGCGAGCAAGCTTAGATAGGCGCGGAATCTGAGCGTTGGGATCCTGTACAGAGATTCTGTTCAGAGGGCGGGTACGCAGAACTATGCTGATATACCTGTTGTACGGGGCCAATGATTTGCTCCTGGCGAGATCCAGTACACTGTTCAGGGTCCTCACCGACCGGGGCCCCCGAAGTCGTTACGCTGCCGGTAAATTGGGCTAGATCAACGTGGGCAGTACTCTTGGTTCGTTTGGGTTTTATTTGCCTGGCCCTTGAAGAGATGGCATGTTGGTCAGTGTTGAGGGCCTTCGGATTATCAAGAGTACCCTATAAACGACAATGTATCAGCACATTCGCTAGCCATCGAAGTTCTGAAACGCACCGAGGAGTCAACCAGTCCACGTGCCCCACCTTTCTTGCGGGTGGACTTGCTTTCAGGTACGTACACAGGGATACTTCCCTGGGAAACATAACAGTCCCGAGAGGACGACCAAAGCAGAATTGGGCAGGGAGAAAGATCGTCAAAGAGCCATGCGGGGTACAATCGTGAGTGGATGAGATCGGCATGTGCGATTTCTTTTGTCAGTTGAGTACCCTACTTGACTGAACTTGTGATACGCACAGTTCGCTTAAGGTCAAGGAGCAACCCGGACGGCATTTTGACTTCTGGTGGGAAGCCACGGGCCCCTCGTGAGATTAGCTGATTGAAATCGTACATCTCGGATTCAGCATCCTTCATGGGAGGAGCGAAGGAGATATGTTGATGAAGTTGGCTAGCCTCTGGGAATGAGGAGGACTGTTACGTGATGATCAGATACAACCGGGGTACCATGCGTAGTATACCGCTAACCTGGGCTTGCTGAGCAGTGGGTGCATCCGAATACGGCAACTGTTGCTCAGGCAACGAAGTGATTACCTGTGCGGCGCCAGCCCTGGCATCATTAAGGGTCGGCGAGGATGACACTGGCTATGCGCGGCTTAGATGTAGGAGCAACACTCGAAAAATAAGGGCATACCGGTATACCGGAACCAGACAAAACCTGGGTCAAGTTCGCGCTGGGAGCCCGACTTTCGATGTTGGTAATAGCCGTAGTCTTGTGAGCGGTAGCCATCCGTGGATTCATATGCATACTACTATGCTCCTGCGGGCCAACGTGTTCATTATGTAGAAGACCCTTCGGGGCGGACGAAGCCGACTGTATGCGATTCAGACATGACGGAACCGCATCATTATTAGAGGCATACCGGTCTACGAGAACCAGCCAGATCCTGAGAAGAATTGGCGACAGACACGGCTCCGTGATTCGGACCATGCATCGGATGGGACGGCGTTGACTATGTACGACTTAGATATGAAGACATCGTTTACAACAGGGGAACGTACTGATATGTTAGGAGAGAACGGGACCTGCGTCGAGTTCGCCGTAGAAGCCCGATCCTGGTCGCTGTTACTGCTTATTGCGGCCCCAAGTGCCCACGGAGTAGCGTGAACATGGGGTAAGGATCCACGGAAAGCAGCGGGCGGTGGCTGCGAACATTTCAGGCGTGCATATATATTTCGAAAGACGAAAACACACCGGTATACCAGGCCCGGACAAGACCTGCGTCGAGTTCACATTGGGAGCCCAACCCTCGGCGTTCCTGACGCTCGCTGTATTCCCAAGGGCCCATTGGGCAGCGTAGTGATTGTGCAGAGGGCGAGCGGATGGTGCTGGCTGTGAACAACTCAGACTTGGAGGTATTATTCAGAGGACAAAAACACACCGGTATACCAGGCCCGGTCAGGACCTGCGTCGAGTTCGACTTGTAAACCAAGCTCTCGGCGCTGTCGATGCTTGTTGCGTTGGCACGTTCAACCGAGACTGCAACCGGAGTATCCATATGAACATCCCCCTGTGCCTTCGGGTTAACGTAGTTAACGATGAGAGGGCTCGGACTGACCTCAGTCAAAGGCACGTCATGCCTTTTCGCATCATATTGAGCTGGAGCCTGCCCAGTAATGACAACGAGTGCACTCGATGAAGGCAGTCCGTACGGCATATCTCTATCGCTGTAGATCGGCCCATTCTGCGAGTCTCCGAGCGCCGTGTTTCCGCGTGAGATATACGGAAACTCTGTGCGTAGGTGCGTGGGATCAAGGGGCCGCTATATGCATAACAGAATGATGTCAGCCGGTATACGCACATGACGTTCAGCGGCGCACCAGGGGCAGTTCGGGCCTGTGCTCTTGTCTCGTAGCAAGTGTCACGACGTGAGGGGAAGTGCCCAGATGGAGCGGAGATTCTACATCTCTGTGCGACGATGAGCAATACAACGACCTTGACTTGGAGGGCGCACATACTCGGCGTGCATATGAACGTCAGCGTCAAGGGCAAACACGTCTTCACGCTGAGTCTCGGCCATCTATGCTTAATTAGACAGGTGGCGAATGTTCACAGCATAGTATAGATATGCGTACCATCATATCCTGGGTGACGAACTCAGGCTGCCTACCATGTTGGGAATAGCCTGACATGGAGGGCAAGGCGGATCTCTCTATGTACCACTGACCAGCATGTCGGTTGTCGGTAGTGCCTGGGACATAAAGTTGCCGTAAGTCCTATGATGTAAGGTAAGTAAGTAAAGATATTCAACCGTATCCGCTGTTGACTTACCTCGTCAGCTCTACGAAAGCCAGATACTAGAGCTGGACGTTCAGGCAAAATAGGTCTCTTCGACCTCCAACCCGCCGCCCAAGCATGTTCCTCCTTGGTCATACCGACCATACCTGGGAGAGATGATTTCTGCCGTTTGTAAGAGGGTTCGTCATCCCGTTCGAGAGACAAAGCATGTTTGCGGATGTGAACGTCGAAATGCGTAGTTGGCGGCGGCGGCGGCAGCGGCAAGGGTTCCGACGATAGTTCAAGTGAAGGGTCGAGACCGATTTCCATGCTGACAGCTAGACGCGTATGTTCTGATCCATTGTCCGAGTGCCAGATACTTTAAGTCACCCGTGGAGCGGAATCCTGATTCTGTGTGTTGTGGCCGGAGAGACTTTTGTGGATTCGCATAATGCGGAAGTCGTCCGGCGAGACCGCACCGGTGACGGTCAATGAACGACCTGCACACGTGCACTCGTGCAGCCGCGCCGAACCGGTTCGTCCCCAAACGGCAAACGCCGTCGACGTCGCGCAGTCCAAGTAACCCTTTCATGCCTGTGAGCCTCGGAATTGTGGATGCCAGCCCATACACAGATACTCTCGCCGCAGTTCATGAGCCCCTTGTGGCCGTTCTTGTACCTTCTGCAATGAGCGTCCACTATCAGTCGACATGCGATATAGATGCGTTTGGTATGCGGCCACTCCTGACAGCACAAGGATATGGCGCGCCCTCCTGGACTTGTGATCTGGTCTTCGGAAGTATCTATGGACTTCCAGACACTGGATATTCCTCATTTGGCACCAACAGTCTCTGGACGTCCCGTGGTGAATCGTCCTCTCACGGCGCTGGAGTCGTTCAGTTTCTCGTCGTATAATAGCGACGACATGGTGCATCGGACGTATGATCAATCAGACCAGGAACAACAGGTGCGTAGAGGTGCGCAACAAAACAACTCTTTCATTACTGACTGTGTTCGATACATCAGCCGCCCTCACCAGCGACTCCCACTGATCATGTAGGATGGGAGAGCAGCCCCGATGAAGTGGCCATTCCTTCTTATAGTCGCGAGGTGCGTGAACAGTCGCTTTCGGGAGTACTTTACCACTCAGCATTGTGACGTAGCCCTCGTATACAGTCGCCGAGCGACCTCTCTCTACCAACGCATCGGTTCGTTTCATCCAACCACTTGACGCCCGATTCCTCATCACTTTCGTTCAGGAACGCGGGAGCTATGGAGACCTTCACAGCGCTGAGTCAGCTCATGCCTCTGCGGACCTCACGAATGAATTCAGGGAAAGACCTGTGCCTGCTAGTGTAGACTTGCGCTCTCTCCTGCATGGCGTACGTGTAGAGTTGGCGTGATTCGGGCACATATGCTGACAAGACATCAGGACCGTCCTGTTCCAGCTACTATTCGAAGCAGGGGATTGCTGTGTCGCTGGATATCCGTTGAGGCAGGAAAATCGATGGATCGACCTTCGCGCTTGCCCCAATCAATCGCTGCGCAGCTCGATGAAGGCTGGATCTTCACCAACACATATTTCTCGAAGATACGTATGACGCAGGTGCTACAGATGTGGCTTTACTCTTGCGATGGGACTACCGGCAACATGTCTTGGAAGGCTGTGAGCATGGCTACTTTATGAGTGTCGGTCCATGCTCATCACGCGTTATCGTTCAGCACAGCCCGGGAGTTGAATGTAGGCATCCGACTCATCCAGACGTCTTGCTTGGCGTATACCCTCAAACTGCATCGAGCCTAGAGCCGACGTGGATCAAGAAGTCGAGCGCAGGAACAGGGAAATATATCAAGGCAGCTCAATTTGTGGTGGGCGTCCCAGGACCCAGATAGTGGACTAGCTCCTGCTGTTATATATGCATGTACCATATCATCGTGAAGTTTCTTGATACAGCACACATATCGACTCTTGATTTTATTTTGATTTGCAATATATTTGGCTCGTTACTAAACATGTATATCTCTCACCTCAGCTCCTTCCCGATCTTCGTATTATAGGCTGCGGCACGAGTTGAGGCAAGTGGCGATAGAAAGAGGCAGCGCGATAGTGTATACGCGCGGGCCAATGATCTAGCTTCCATATGAGATGCTGAGACGGAAGTCGTGCCGGCGTCGAGATCGTTCAAGCGCGTGTGGACGTTGTTCACTACTGCCACGACGCCACTCTCCGCCTACGACCGTCTATGTAACAGTCGTCTTCAATATGACACATACCCACGCATGCTAGTTTGCAATCGGAGATGATACGTACGATCCTGTCGCGTCATAGCAGCATACATGACACACTGCCCGCGGGAGGTCCTTTCACGTCGATGCACAAAGGATACAGTATTTAACGAGGACGTTCAGGTGGCATTCGCGACTCATTTCGCTACCATGACCGGCCAAGATATAGAGATCATCTCTGCTCTCAACGTATTCGCTGAAGTCTTGTGTCATCCTCAGCGGCCGGATCATCTTGATGTACCGTCCTCATCTCAGCGCGTCGTGTTGCGGACGACCAAAGCCAGCTGGACTATTGGTCGCGGTGATGGGTCGCTGAATAGTGTAGATATCAAGGTCGCGGACACTCGACTGAGTACCAGTACGCCATGTTCACTACCACTATACTCTCTCTGACGCCTGGCGTTTACAGGTAGGGTACATGCGCGATTGGAGTGGCATGGCGATTCAAATGTCGCCTATATTCACGATATGAACTCGACCTACGGCACTTGGGTAATACAGGGTGTCTACGATGCATTCGTGTTCTAATGGCGGTGTAGGTGGATGGCCGTCGGCTAACAGCGGGAGAAGGCGTACCTCTGAAGGATGAACGTCTTGAGATATGGTTGGGAGTGCCTGGAGGTGGTCAATCAAGCTGTACGGTCCTCTTGAACTAACGTTTGTGATCACGCTGACTGGATGAAAGGTGTGGTCTATGTCAACAAGATGCGGGTCAATACCTTCGCTCAAACATACGCGGTCGAAAGTGTGGTCGGTAGCGGACGATACGGGAATGTCCTCAAGTGCCTTCGGCGAGATGACCTGGCCGCGATCCGCGCCGTCAAGATCATCAAATATACTGGGTACACATACGAGACACTGCCTACGCTTTCAGACATACGAGACTCGGTCAGCATTATGACGACCGTGCAGCATGACCCGCACGTATGCGACCTCATCGACACGTTCGACAATCCCGGTCTCAGCATGTTTTGTGTGTTCATACTTCGCATGAAGCAATCGTGGGACGCTTACCCTCTCGTAGTCATCGTTATGCCATATTACCCTCTTGGTAACCTACGTGACGCGCTTGGTGAAACTCCTATTTGTCAGTCCACTTCACCCTTGAGCAGCAGCGAAATCTTTGACACGCGGTAGCGGAATTCATGACCAGATCCGTCACTTATCAAGTCAGCTTGGGCTTGATTCACCTGCACTCTAAAGGCATCGTCCACATGGATATCAAAGATACAGTGGGTCCTCCTCCATTCGGTCACATGACAGTATCCTCATATTTTGGGAAGAACATCCTCACCGAGAGAATGAATCCTCCCACCTTCAAAATCTGCGGTTTCGGTACGGCGCGACGCCTGCCTTCCTCTCGGGTCTTGCAGGTGCGTAGCATAAGATACTGTGCATGAATATGTAACACCCATACAACCTATTCAGGGCGCGGGTGGTGGCAGTGTAGCGTTTACGGCGCCGGAGGTCTACGTGCGGAGACAGTATGGCGAGCCTGCAGACTTCTACAGCAATGCACTCTTATCCTTCAATCTGTATGTCTCACCAATCTTTGCTGAAGGTAGTCTTGCTGATAAGACAGACTCCTGGGACTGGGCGACTACTGTTTCTCCGAGCGGCCGATCTGTTTGGATACAGAAAAGGAGCTCCTTACCTGGATCTCTACCCGTAAATTGCAATGGTATCGGCTTCAGCGTGCGGCGAGTGACACTTGTTAGTGCATAGACACCGTTCAACGCGACCTCGCTGACAGCTCTATATATAGGCGTCCAGTTTCTGCAGTCGATGCTAGCGGATGATCCCCATGTTCGAATGTGCGGGGAGAAGGCTATGTGCCACCCCTGGTTAGTCGAGCATGGGAATAGCCTCCCACGCCGTTTGACTAGTCAACCCACAGTTTGGAGTGTCTTGCCTGGTCCTACTATTGCACTTCCCTGATCCAATGGTCAAGGCAAGTGGAGGGATTGACCGAGTCGCCGGTCCGCCCGCGTCACGGACAACAGCGCGGTGTTGAGCTCGTAGTCATGCCCCCGACACCGCATTCGCACCGCTGTGCAGTAGTACTTCTGTCTTAAAGTTGGAATTTTATCTGAATTATCATCGTCCACCCCACATGCACTTAGTATCTAAAGTCGCGTGTAGTAACCGTAGACCGTAGTTAAAGTCGGGTTCTCGCTTTGCGGCATATGCTGTGATACGGCAAACTCCGAGATCGTCATACCTCAAGATGATCGATCCACCGATACCGCGTGGGCGGCCTTTGTGCCAAACCCTTTAACACATAGGTAGCTCTCAAGACACTGTCTCCGTTTTCATCTCTTCACCCCACCAGACCGACTCGTAGTTCCTTCATGCCTCTCGCACAGACCACCGATATCGTGACGACAGGCACTGCAGACTCTGTTACATCGATATGCGAATGTCTCTACTGCTGTGCCGACCCCACACTTTGCGCCCTATTCAGTATCGACCCGAGTGGCATATCAGCTCGCTGGAATGAGCTGTTCCAGCGGCGTGTGCGATACCAGAACAATCATAACCTTCAATTATTTACTGACACAGTACTCGCGCTCTCGACCTGGTGGCCGCCGTGTCTTGCCCCCGGTGGCTGCTCATCTGAACGCGGGATTGGCGAGATCGTTGAGCTTTTTGGAATTTCTACGTTCTGTCAGAGTGCTTTATCACAAGCAGACTTCTATCAAGAGGACCCGGTTAGTTCTTATTCAGAGTTCTGAAGTTGCTCATCTAATGTCATTCGCCTCTATATCCAGGCCTTCATTGTTAGTGTTCTCGAGCTCGCGAACACAATATGTCGTCTACTGGAATGTCCTCGCGACGTGGACGCATCCTACGTTGCTTTGGCTCGCGTGATCTATGAAGGTGTTTGGCATCAGCGCTGGCAGTTAACCAAGCTCCAAAACACATACGGACAGCCGATGCGCGGAATAGCTGAAGCCTTGGAGTCCCTCATGTCTGTATTAGCATCCCGGTGAGTGACACTACATCCATGCAGGATGTATGTAACACATAAGCTCTTACAGTGCGTCCATATCGCAGTCAGCGCAACTACTCGCGGACGCAGAGCGGGCCTTTCTCACAGTCTGGATACTCGATCCGCATATGGATCGTCCACCAGACTGTGCATGCGGCTCTTGCAACGTGGAGGACGACGACAGTATTTGCTGGGCAAATGACACAGCAAACCTCTCCGCCTATCTTCTGTGCCGCGGGATGGGTGGTAAGGTCCTGATGGACGAGCGTTTGCCTCCCTCACATTCCATTGTCTCGAAGATGGAAGATCACGTCTTGCCAGAATTTGGCGCCGTGCGCTATCTAGAACGCCTCTCTCAGACATTCCGTAGCCCAGGAACACTCTTCGGAGATGGCGGTCGCGATGCTATTCGCGCTGCCTGTACCTCATTCATGCGAATTCCGACGTTGTTTGAGAACCCAGTATTCCCCATGGTGCTTGATGCATTGTTTGAGGGGATAGACCGGTTGAACTCATCAGGCCACGTCTCGGATGCATATTGTTTGATCGTGGATTTAGCGATGGTATGTTGGTAAGTGAAGTGTTCGATGGCGCGCCAACATAACAGTTTTTGCTTACCCGCTTTCTAGTACTTTGGTCAATCTCACGGAGCCTACGCATGAGGATTGGAGCTCTGTCGACGCTGTTCTGCGAAGCGGGAGGCTCTTCGAGATCCTAATGCAGACGGTAGCAGTATGCATTCCTGATGACGATGAAGACGAGCGACCGAATCTTAAAATGTATCGTGAGTAATGAATCCGAGTGTTCCCCGCGGCTCAATTACCGAGATACCTATTTTCAGACTTGTGTTCAAGCTGCGTGACAGACATTGGCAGTTGGGCTCTGGCAATCAACGGGTACAAAAAGAAGAGCAAACGGCGCCAAGCTATGCGCAAGGTATTCCGCAGAGAATGGTGGCCCATACTGCGCTCTCTGCGCGGTATGACCCCAGAGCCGAGTCTCGCGCGTGTTCACGGGCGTATGATCGGCTCCTGGGAGCAACTCGGTCTGGATCTGGGTCTCTCCGAGGGAGACGCCAATGTGACAGCTAGCCATCCGAATGCGCGGGTTTGTGCGTGGAAGGCGTGTCCCCGGCACCTCCATCCGGGGGCCGGCACTTTAAAGATGTGCAAGGGTTGCGGAGATGCGGTAAGACTCCTCAACGACCTACATATCGTAGAGACGCACTAACAAAAGTTGTACAGAGCTATTGTAATGATAACTGTCAGCGCAAGGACCGGAAAGAACACAGGCGGAACTGCAGGAGATTGAAGTGACGAGAGGGTGTCTCAGAAGCGCGCATGCCCCACCCGCAAGTTGTGAGATGACGAAGAGTCTGTTCCCTGTATTACATATACTGTACACGCATGTGTATACGTACGACGAATGATCCACATGGCCCTTGACAACACTGGCGTGCAGAGAGAAATGGAGGGAAGGCGGCGCGGACGTTAGCTCGCATTGCATCGATCCCCTAGGCTAGCTGTGTTTTGCTGGCGAGCTCACATTAACAAATTGGGTCTGGGATCGGACCAGTAATAGCTCGCCAATTAGTTCGAGAACGTACGGGATAAGAAAGTCCGCCGTCTGCCCTGTCCGCGGAGTCGCGTCCGTCCGATAAGGATTGAACCCGCCGACCCGGAAAGAATGAAATGCCTCGGCTGACATATATTCTGTCGTTATCAGATATCCGATATCTATTCAGGCCAGAGGAGATTGTATTCTATCTCGAGGTAGATGAAGTCAATTGAAGAGTTTTACGCAGTCCGAATTCAGGTCCGACAAGTCCGTGATCGAGTCCGTGGTTGAGTCCGACGAGTTTGATTCTGAGCGGTGCTACGTGACCTGAATCTGGTCCGGCGAATACGAGTACGAGCTTGTGCTCGAGTCCGGGTCCGAGGTCGGGGAAGTCTGGACCATTTGAGGAGTTCAGGGAGGCGGATCCGGGGTCGGTTTGGGGTCGGGTTTGAGAGCCAATCCGATGCAAATCCGCCTCCATGGATTCGGCCAGTCCAGTTTAGTTCGAGTTCGAGGAGTTTGAGTGACGTCCGAGTCCAACTAGTTCGAGGTTGAGAGTTCTAAACTGAGATCGGATACGACCAGTCCGGTTCAATTCGAGTTCTTCGAGGAGTCCGAGTCCGAGTCCGAGTTCAACTAGCCCGAGGTCGAGAATTCTAAACTGAGATCGGATACGACCAGTCCGGTTCAATTCGAGTTCGAGGAGTTTGAGTGACGTCCGAGTCCAACTAGTTCGAGGTTGAGAGTTCTAAACTGAGATCGGATACGACCAGTCCGGTTCAATTCGAGTTCTTCGAGGAGTCCGAGTCCGAGTCCGAGTTCAACTAGCCCGAGGTCGAGAGTTCTAAACTGAGATCGCATACGACCAGCCCGGTTCAATTCGAGTTCTTCGAGGAGTCCGAGTCCGAGTCCGAGTCCGAGTTCAACTCGTCTAGACGCGCACAGTCAGGGTCCTGCAGAGTCCGGCGCCCCGAGCGCCAAACTCCCACGTATGCCCCCATAACGCAACTGGCTCCAATCGCTGTGTCATCATCGACGGTCGGTCACCAGCTGGCGCGCCTCAACACAGCCTCCTGAACGCGGTCGTCAACTTGAAGAACGAAGTTTGGTTGCGCTAAGCACGGTCTCGCTACTTACATTGGTGTTCGAGTGCTTTGGCGTTCGTAGCCTTCATCAAACCAGCTCCAGCCTGAACCCTGATCGATTATCGTGGAATGAAGTCCGTAGAACTCGCCAGAATCAGTATCGTGATCACTGGGTTGGGAGCACGAGCTCTTGTGTCGGATCGTGTAGGCTTTCTCGATATCAACTCCACACCCATGCCTGGTTGGTCACAAATTTGCTACAAGCAATCGCTCGGGCACTCGGTGTTCGATATTGGCAGTTGATTGGATGGTCGAGCCATGACCGAACTCCATCCGTATAGGCGCGACTTGAAGCTCGATGAGTACATATCCCAGAGCCTCGGAGCGATAGGTGTCCGATGTGTCACAATCCTACTCCGTAAGGCGTGCTGGAAGTCCATGCTTGAAGCCCTCAGTCACGCCCGTACCTCCTACGTACCACCCATACAACTTCTCATATAGCC